GAGGATCATGGTGACGGGCGCCGTGATGAGGCAGAGGACCTGTGGGTTGGAAGGGGACATTTTTGGGGGGCCACCATATGAGATTTGGGGTGAAGATGGAGGTAGGGTGGGACACAGCCACCCCTGGCTTACCGCCACGTTGTAGATGGCCATGCCCACTGCTCGGTGGTCATTGATCTTCTCCGTGGACACGCTCTTGGTCTCGTACGCCAGGAAGATGCCCAACAGCAGCAGCAACCCCTTGAAGCCATAAAATATTCCTGGGGTGGGGGGGAAGCCATGAGTGGTCAAACAAGGACCCCCTCACCTGACACCCATGGGTGCCTGGGTCTCCCCTTGGTGGTCTACAACACACCTGTACCCTCCAAGTCCTGCCCATCTCCCACCCCCATGAGCCCACTTGTGCCCACCAAGCCACGTGTTCATCTTGGTGGAGCTGCAGTGCTCCAGCTGGGGCAGGATGGAGACGTCCGTGTCCGTCTTGGGCTCCTCCTTGGTGAACTCCTGGGGGTGGGAGATGGGGTGTGAGGGCAGATGGGGTGCAGGGGGGGAGCCTTTGCTGCCCCAATACTGTGAACATCCCCCCAACACCTCGAGCATCTCCCCAACATCAAGAACATCCCCCCAGCAGCACCCCAACACCTTGAGCATCTCCTCAACATGAAGAACATCCCCCCCAGCAGCACCCCAACACCACAAGCACCCCCCAGCAGTGTCCCACCTCGATGGTGCGGTGCAGAGGGTCCACAATTTGCCAGATGATCAGCGTGACCACGTCCAGCCCCACAAGAAGCCCCACGGTGGCATAGAGCTTCCAGGGCTCCAAGGTCTGCGTGTGGGGACAACACAGTGTCACAGAGACTCTGAGCTCCAACCCCTGGTTCCTCTGCACCCCACCAGGTCACCCCTCACCTTCCTCTTCTCCTTCTTCTCCTCCTTTTTGGTGAAGACGGTGTGGACCCACCAGATCTTGGTGAACATGCTGCCGTAGGCCAAGCTGAACCCCAGCCCCAGGAGCCACAGCCGAGCCTGGGGAGGGTACGTGGGTTGAGAAGATCTGATTGTACCTCCTTGGCCAGGTGTACCCACCTCTGCTGCACCCCACACAGTGCACCCCCCTCCCATGGACCTCCCCGACTGACTCCTTCGGAAGTCTCCAGGTCTACTCCAAACTGTTCCTCCCCCAGCTGTCCCCATCCCCTGACTGGATCTCCAACTGTTCCTCCTCCAAATGTCTCCATCCCTTGGCCAACTGTTCCTTCTCTAAATGTCCCTATCCCCTGGCTGGATCTCCAACTGTTCCTCCTCTGGTTCTCCCCATCCCTTGGCTGGACCTCCAACTGTTCCTCCTCCAGTTGGCCCCATCCCCTGACTGGATCTCCAACTGTTCCTCCTCCAAATGTCTCCATCCCTTGTTCTTCTTAATTCCTTCTCTAAATGTCCCCATCCCCTGGCTGGATCTCCAACTGTTCCTCTTCTGGTTGTCCCCATCCCTCAGCTGGATCTCCAACTGTTCCTCCTCCAGCTGTCCCCATCCCTTGACTGTATCTCCAACTGTTCCTCCTCCAATTGTCCCCATCCCTTGACTGGATCTCCAACTGTTCCTCCTCCAGTTGGCCCCATCCCCTGACTGGATCTCCAACTGTTCCTCCTCCAAATGTCTCCATCCCTTGTTCTTCTTAATTCCTTCTCTAAATGTCCCCATCCCCTGGCTGGATCTCCAACTGTTCCTCTTCTGGTTGTCCCCATCCCTCAGCTGGATCTCCAACTGTTCCTCCTCCAGCTGTCCCCATCCCTTGACTGTATCTCCAACTGTCCCTCCTCCAGTTGTCCCCTTTCCCTGGTTGTCCCCACTCCACCCAGATCTCCTCAACCCCCCAGCAGCCCCATACCTGACAGACGAAGGGGAACAGCCCGGGTCCGATGTGGTACCCGTCGAGTCCCAGGGGGAAGACAGCGGCGAGCGCCAGGGTGCAGCCCACGGCCGTCATGTTGTTCAGGTAGGGCTGGGAGTTCTGGATGTACCTGGGGGTGGGTTGTTGAGAAGATGAGATGTCACCTCGCCACCGTACTCAGCTATGGGTGGTGCACGACGTTCAGCTGACCCAAGGGGACGCGAGAAACGGGGACATGAAGTGAGATCACAGGAAACCACATGTAGCTCCAACTGTTCCTCCTCTGGTTGCCCCAATCCCTCATCTGGATTTCCAACTGTTCCTCCTCCAGTTGTCCCCATCCCTTGGCTGGATCTCCAACTGTTCCTCCTCTAAATGTCCCCATCCCTTGGCTGGATCTCCAACTGTTCCTCCTCCAAATGTCCACATCCCTTGGCTGGATCTCCAACTGTTCCTCCTCCAGTTGTCCCCATTCCCTGACTGGATCTCCAGCTGGAGAGATACAACCAGAGTGGCTGCTCCTCCCTGGAAGTGTTGAAGGCCAGGCTGGATGAGGCTTTGAGCAACCTGGTCTAGTGGAAGGTGTCCCTGCGTTGGGACTGGGTGATCTTGACGGTCCCTTCCAACCCAAACCATTCCATGACATTTCCCCCCAGAACCAGGAAAAGCGAGTGGGTCACTGACCGGACGTGCCCGTTGTAGATGTTGAAGGCCAGGCAGATGATGGCCAGGAGGATGCCCAATGAAGCCAGCACCGAGACAGAGATGAAGAGCTTCTGGGACAGGAATCGGAAGGTGGTGATGACCTTGGTGTAGTCAGCTGGAGGGGCACCACCTGCAGAGCCCATGGCACAATGAGAGGGTGTGGAGAAGGTCTTCCCAACCCTTCTCCATGGCAGTGACCCCACTGAGGTGCTCCTCACCAATCCACTTGTCGTTGTTGTACCAGGAGAGGTTGTCCTTGGTGCTGTCATAGTAACCGATCTTCTTGTAGACACCACCTGCAAGGTCAACAGAGATGGGTTGGGTGGGAGGGAAGGAGAAGCAACCCCCTGGTTGTATCTCCAACTGTTCCTCCTCCAGTTGTCTCCATCCCTTGACTGGGTCTCTAATGTTCCTCCTCTAGTTGTCCCCATCCCCTGGTTGTCCCCACAGGATCACAGACCGGTTGGGGGTTGGAAAGGACCTCTAGAGGTCACCTGGTCCAACCCCCCTGCTCAAGCAGGACCACCCAGAGCCCATTGTCCATGACCATGTCCATGTGGCATTTGGATGTCTCCAAGGATGGAGATCCCACCACCTCCCTGGGCACCTTCTGCCAGTGCTTGGTCACCTACACTGTGAAAAAGTGGTCCCAGATGTTCAGCTGGAGCCTCCTGTGCTCCAGTCCCTTCATCATCTTCACGGGCCTTCGCTGGATGCTCTCCAGTAGCTCCCTTGTACTGGAGAGCCCAGTACTGGCCCCATATCTCCAGGTGTATCCTCACCAGGGATGAGCAGATCATCTCCTCAACCTGCTCCACCACTTCTTCTCATGTAGCCCAGGACACTGTTGGCCAACTTTGCCACATCGCTGACTCACAGTCAACTTGGTGTCCAGCAGGACCCCCAGGGCCTTCTCTGCAAAGCTGGTTGACCCCCAGCCAGTCCTGGTGCCTGGGGTTGTTTCTGGAGAACTTCCCCTTGTTGAACCTCATGAGGTTCCTCTCAGGCCATTTCTCCAGCTTCTTGAGGTTCTTCTAGGTGGTTCTTTGACCTTCTGGTGTCTCAGCTGCTCTTTGCAGTTTGGTGTCATCAGCAAACTGGCCAAGGGCAGGCTAGGGCCCATCATCCAGACCACTGATGAAGATGATGAAGAGGACTGGACCCAGTATTGACCCCTGAGTTGGTGACCAGCCTCCAACTGGACTTTGTGTCACTGATCTCCACCCCCTGGACCCAGAAGTTCAGCCAGTTTTCAGTCCACCCCACTGTCTGCTCATCCAGCCCAGACCTCATCATCTTCTCTAGGAGGATCTGCTGGGAGATGGTGGTGAAAGCCTTTCTGAAGCCAAGGTAGACAATGTCCACTGCTCTCCCCTCATCTACCAAGCCTGTAGAAGGTGGTCAAGTTGGTCAAGTGTGACTTCTCCTCGGTGAATCCATGCTGACTACTCTTGATGACTTTCTTGACCCAAGCTCTTTGCTTGTCCTCCAAAACCTCCTCCACCTCTGGACCTCCCTCCATCACATGCAAGAGCAGTTCTGGGTTGGTGAGGACACACGTCTTGTTGGACACGTGGTCAAAAGGGCGTGGAGAAGAGGGTTGTCCCATGTGTCTTGCCACCCCTTGAGAGGTTGTGCAGTGGTGGGACTTGTTGTGGTGTCCATCTTGGGATGGTGGTGTGCAGATGACACCACCAAGCTATGGCTGTTGTGCCTGAAGGGGTGTGGTGGGACTCTTGGTGGTGGTCACCATGGTCAACACGGTGACAGTGTCACCAGTTATGGCTGCTGCCTGTGCTCACTCACCTTGAAGCTGCTCAATGAGGGTCCAGGCCATGCGGGAACCACTGGCATCAAAGACAACGTGTCCCTGTGGGGTGGGACGGAGATGGGTGTCAGGGACCTGTCAGGTGCCAGGACCATGTCCCCAGAGGGGTGTTGGGAGAACATTTTCTCTGGGACTTTTAGGGTGGCTCATGAGGGCACCTTGATGGGTGTCTTCAAAGCAACTCCACCACCACCTTGAAGATGGAGGAGTTGGGGACATGGGAGACCTTGTTGAAGAGAAGGGGACATGGTGGGGCTGGGGACTGGCCTGGTCTCCATTGTGGACATCTCACCGAGACACCCTCAAAGGCGGAGGAGTTGAGGGCCCGGTAGATCTCATCGGTGATGTTCTTGTTGTTGTAGTTGAAGTCCTCCAGGCGCAACCCCTTCTTGACCAGCTCTGCTGAGGTCTTGTTGAGGGCCAAGGCCAACGCCCAGATGGCATCATAGGCCAGCGGAGCCTCCTGGAAGCCACCTGTCTCCTCAGGGTTCTTGCCCAACCTCTTCTGCAGCTTCTCGATGAACTCCTGGGACGTCTGGGATGAAGAACAAGAAGATGATGATGTGGTGGGTGGGATGGAGTGGACCAGCTGGTGGTGTCATGTGTCCCCTCATCCTCCCCGTACCATATTGGAGATGCTGCGGGTGTTCTCAGGGTTGAGCATGACGATCTCGGTGGTGACATGTCCTTCCACCGCCTCGGCCATCTCGGCCTCGGTGCAGTTGATGGCCGGATCCTTGATGCGGAACCAGTTGTCGGCGTACCAGCCAATGAGGAACCAGACGTACTTCTTGCCATAGAGCTTCTCCTTGTAGACCTGTGTGGGCCAAAAGGGAGTGGCTTTATCCTTCACCTCATCCTTCCCACCACCCCTCTGTCCATCACTCTCCACCTCATCCCACCACACCCTTCTCCTCATCCTGTCCATCCAACTGGACCTCTGTCCATCCACTCTTCACCCCATGCTTCTGCTCAACCTTCCCACCATCCCACCTGCCCATCCATCTGGACCATCTACTCTTCACTTCATGTCTCCACTCAACCATTTCCCTTCCCACCATCCCATCCATCCATTGGTTCCACCACCCTCACATCTACCTACACGTCCATCCTAACATCTTTCTCCCCACTCAACCACATGTCCCACCACCTTTTACTCCATCCCACCATCCATCTCCCCACATCCACCTGATGTCCACCCACCCATGGACCTGTCCCCCCATGGTGCCCACCCACACCACGTCCCCCTTCCCACCTCTCACCTCACAGAAGACCTTACGCGCCTCCGTCTCGTAGAAGAGCCCCACAATGATCCGGGCATCCTGACGCTGGGGGGAGACAAGTCACCCTGGGGTGAGACTTCTACTCCCCTTCACTCCTAGACGGTTAACTCCACCCATCCTCATTTGCATAACTTTGCATAGGGGTGCTGAGGAGGACCAGAACCTTGGCATTGCACAGCCAGGTCATGGGTGTCGCTCCCCATCTCCTGGTTGAAGGAGATTCATGGTTGACCTGGATGCTTGGACATCTCCAGGTGCTTCTGGTCCCTTTGGGGTGCAGGACATGGCTCCACCTGCACCCTGATGGTTGTGGGTGCCATGGAGGACAACTTGGTGGGGACGATGACCTGGACATGGGCGAGGTGGACTCACCTTGAGGTTGCGCACGGGCGCGGCGGGGTCGGAGAAGAAGCTTTGACGGAAGGTGATCTCCAGACCAGCTTCCTTCACCCGTTGGTCCAGGTCATCGAGGGTCTGGTGGTGGTTGGGCAGGAGAAGTGGGGAGCAGGCAGAGGTGGGGGGGATGGAGGGGAAAGAGAGTGTAGAGTGAGTCCGGGGTGGGGATGGTGGGGTTGAGGACCACCAAGCATGGGTTGGGAGATGGGTTGGTCATCGGGGGTTGGTGGAGTGGAGACGTGAGGTGAAGAGTAGATGGTCCAGCTGGATGGACAGGTGGGATGGTGGGAAGG